CTCAAAACAGAGCGGACTGGCACAATACGATAAAAACCGCTACAGGAACATCATAGTCACTAATCCCTCTTCAGGGAAACGGACCAAAGAGAGAGATCATCAATGTCCGAACAGCACTAACGCAGCCGAAAGATCTTGAGAAACACGACAAACAGGAAGCGCAAGCAACGCAAGCCCAATCAGAAGCAAGAGCGCGAGCAGCATCACGAGCAATGTGGACGCACCTTTAGACTCTTCAAGGTTCTTTGTGGAAGCTTCTGTCAATGTTCAGAATTCGGCACAGTACTGGAGTACAGACCAAATATAGAATTTAATTAGTCTTAGATTGGTTTGTAAATTAAGAGAGATGTCTACTCTTGAACATATTTCCCATTCTAACAAAAGTAGTTCTTGCTTTCTTTATATGCGGCATTGTATTTCTACAGGGCGGTCCCATTCATTGTAATTCTTCTTCTTCTTCTAGTGCAGATCCATTAATGGATGTTTGCGATAACATTTTCCATTGCTTCTCTGTTCCGGGCGGTGTGTATTAACGACTGAACATCGAGTAGCCCCGTCCACTGTCTGATATTCCTCAGCCAAGACATTTTCTTCCTTCCGATACCCCTTCGGCCTTCGATTTTGCCTTCTATCAACAAATGCAAGAATTGATATTTGGGGTTTTGCATTATGTGTCCCAGGTATGCGGTCTTTTTCTTTTTAATCAATTCAAATAATTCACGCTCTTTGTCAACGCGTCTGAGAACTTCCTCATTTGTCAATCTAGCCGTCCAAGGTATATTCAGGATTCTGCGATATAGCCACATCTCAAAAGCCTCCAATTTGTTGATGGTAGCTGCTTTCAATGTCCAACCTTCCATACCATAAAGGAGCACATACCACACATAACACTTTACGAATCTTAATCTAAGGCTAAGGTCAAAATCAGAACAGACAAGTACTTTTCGAAATCTCAAGAATGCCTGCCGAGCTTGTTCGATGCGACATTTAATTTCGTTGCCTGATGTCCAATCTTCGGAGAGCCAGATGCCCAAGTACTTAAATCTCTTTCTATGGGCCTTGAGTTAAATGTTAGGATGGAGTTTATAAACACATTTGGGTTTCTGGATATAATCATAAATTTGGTTTTCTTGATGTTGATGTTTAAACCCATTGCCTTGCTCTGTTCTCCTACCTTGTTGACCAGTTGTTGTAGGTCGTGTATATTGTGTGCAATTAAGACCGTATTGTCGGCATAGCGAATATTGTTAATCCACACTCCATTAACTTTGACCCCCATTTCCACGTCCTCCAGAGCCTCTTGGAAAATAGCTTCTGAGTATAAATTAAATAGGAGTGGAGACAGCACACAACCCTGTCGCACCCCCCTTCTAACTTGTATGGGATTGGACATGATATTGGACAATTTTATTTGTGCTGTTTGGTTCCAGTATAACTTCTCAATGCATTGGATGTCTTTATAATCTATATCCTGTCTCATATATAATATTGAATACTTTATGTAATGCTGTAATGCCTCTTTCATCTAGCAGCTTAAGTATTTCTGCAGGAATTTCATCTGGCCCAGCCGCTTTGTTATTTTTCTAATTAAGTATGGCTTTTTCAATCTCATCTTTAGTGATCGATGGGCCGGTTAGTGAGTTATTGATATCAGATGAGGGTCTTTCATCGTCAAAAAGTTCTTCTATATACTTTTCCCAAACATTGTTCTTTTCTATGCTTTCGAGGACAATCTGGTTGTTATTATTGACTGTCACAGTTGATCTCATTTTTTTATATGCCAGCAGTCTCCTTCAGCTTTTTATGCAGATTAAAATTGTCATGTTGGTTTTGCAGCTGTTCTAATTCTGAACATTCACGTTTAAGCCATTCGTTCTTTGCTATTCTAATCTTTGTTCTTATGAGTCTTTGAATATCTTTGTACATGCCATCTGTTTTGTTCTTGTACTTTCGACGTTCATTGTAATTATAAAGCAGATATGGCAGATATGGAAGAGGTACGATGTAGGACACTTAAAATGGACACCCTAAGGAAACTGCAGCTCGCACAACGCTCAATGGAATGAAATATGCTGAGAATAACTAAGAGAGACCGTAAAAGAATAGAGTCGATACGACTAAAGGCCCAGAGGTAATAGATCTCATCCACAGATGATGAGTCAAATTCCTCAAATTACAATGGGCAGGACACATGGCAAGAAGAACGGACAACAGATGGACGACAAAAATTACAGCATGGTACCCACGAAGAGACCTAGAAGAAGACCGAACCTGAGATGGGACCATGATATTAGGAAATTAGCAGGGTAACTTGGGCCCGCATAGCCAAACAATAGGCAACAATGAACCCATCTAAAAAGAGAGTATCTAAATATGTGAGGGAGGCTACACCATAATTTGAAATGGTCGAACAAGCTGAAAATGATGATGATGATGACTGTATAGGCAAAGAGTAGATAAGACAAGAGACGACAGTTCGCGCGGTACCTTTCATGTTTGAGTGGTGGGGAGAGTGACCTCGTCTCGCTTGTCCCTTTAAATTTTCGTAATTTTTTCGCGGGAAATTTGAAATAGACTATTATTAAAACTTGCCTGTATAGCTTATAAATAGTTACTGTATGGGTAAAGAAATAAATAGAAACGAAAAAAATGAGTTTTCTAAATATTATATAACATAAATTATAATTAGAAACATATTTGTCGGGGAATAAAGATAATAAAAGCAATATTTTGTATATCGTTGGTAAACAAGATAAAGTGACCAAGTCGATTTGTAAGAAATGTTTTATTTACGTGTATTTTTTTTTCATATGGATTTGAACAAGTGTAAAATCACAATGTGGAGTTTATGTACAAGAAAATAGAGTTGCTCAATTTTTTTTGTAAAAATATATTACAAGCTTCTAACCATGTCTTCGATCTATGAATTACATTTAGTTTATTAACATAATTATATAGTATATTTCTATAAAATACTTTTCAGGATCCTTTGGGAAAGAGTGAACTATTATGTTTGTCGAAGAATAAGACCTATTTTTGCAGTCTTTATAAGCACACACATTGCCACCATCTCGTCTTTTCCTGCTACTCGTGTCCTGTTCGGTACGGTATTCATATCTAACAATTTACAAATTAGTACGCAACAAAAACGATACTAAAATTAAACCTTAAAAACTCTCAAAACGATAATATATCGAAAAACTCTGAAAACACACTTTAAAAAGGCAAAAATGCAAGAAAACAACTAATCAGATTTGTTTATGTTTAAGCCTGATTAGCTCAGCTGATTGGCGCATAAAATAATTAACTAGAATAATTAACTAGGATTGGCGTCCTAAAATCATAGGTTAGATTAGATAAAATACGCCGTTGTCAGATTTTGAGATTTTATCTGTTTATCTTTGAAATCGATCAACTAAGTCATTCTATTTCTTTGATATTATCAGTGCATTGCGAAAAAAGAACCTAAACTAAAAATTTTACATTTCCGTATTAATATACGTTACTTATATCTTTCTTATATTATTAATTTATTTTCAGAAAATCTTGTTTATTTTTCAAAGAAATATACTTGGCAACAGACAAAATGGGACTTGATGGGACCTTTAAATTTTAATATATCTGCGTCTCTCTCGCGAAATTTGACTTCTTTGTTCACTGTCGTCTCTTGTCTTATCTACTCTTTGGTATAGGCAACTTTCCCCTATTTTCATATCAATTACCTACTAGACATTTTTAAATAAACTACATACCATTGGTGACAATCCATAATTAAACTAGTTTTAATAAAACTAGAAAAAAAAAGTACAATTACAAGTACAGAACAGCGCAAAAAAAACAGCGTTCAGTCATTAGCAAATTACCTGTTTTTACCCTCATAACTCTCTTCCGTTCTGTAGACTCCGAAGTTCCAAAATCCAATATCCCCCTTTATCCAGTTCTTTCTTTCCAGCCATCTATTTTTTTTCTCTCTTTTTTTTCTATTTCCAAACAAAAAACGAAAACAATTCCTTTACACGGGCCGAATTAATCGGCAGAACTTTTATCTCCACCGTTTTCCGATGAAAATCAATCTCCCACCTCAGGGCCGGTGGACTTTTCCATCGGTTATTTTCATTCCGATCCTCCAGAGGCCCGGGGAGAGTCTGTATTTATTCGAGAGACACCCGAATGATTGTTTTGTGCCGAGAAAATACACTTAAACACCCTAAGTAGCAGTTTATTGCAAACAAAATTGGAAAAAATGGACCTTATAAAACAATCCATATATTACATTATATAAAAGCTCGAAGGGTTTTTTTGTTCCATCCATCCCACCGAAACCTCTTCACCAATCTTGATGATTCTTTTTTTAAATAAAAGGTATATATGTCTAGATTAGTTATGAAGTACTTTTATATCGTTTAATCCTTTGGTTTAATCATAAGAAGGTTTAATCGCTATTTCTTTATGTAAACACAATACCTCCAGAAATAAATTATTTGTCACAGTCAGTGGTATGTCAGTGGTGTGTCAGTTAGATTATATTTCAAGTGTTTAGATATTTTAGGGGTCAGTTCATACCTAGTTAATTATTTTATGGTTCATACCTAGTTAATGGTTTATGGTTCATTTCTAGTTAATTATTTTATGGTTCATACCGCCAGCTTTAGATACATAAATATTAGCACAAAGGTTCGTTTAAATGACATTAGTGATTAGTGAATTAGCTACGTAAAGCGATTTTAGGAAATTCATCCTCTTAGACTGTAAAACTGTCGAACAATTTCTCCTGGTCTAGAAGAATGAAATTCTACAGAAAGAATTAGAAGAGATTTTTGAAATTCATCAACCAAATGGGTAAAGTTAGTAAAAAATTATATAAACCTTCGTGATCGCTGGATTAAATAATGACGTTTTAAACACATCATATCTCTATGATCTCTGCGCGTTCTCGATTACTATCGATCTATGGATGTAACCGGGTTTATTAATCTGTGGTATTATATATAAGGGAATCAGGAGAAATGTGTGAATGAAATAAAAATATATTAAAATTAAAATTAGAAAACAATAATATGAGCAAATATATTATAAGTACTAAGATTGTTAAATTATTCGGGTAAGTACAAGTGATGATAGTACTACCGACGGATTGTAGCGCTACACCCACACGGTTTAAAGAATAGATAAAAAAAAATATAGGTTAACTAATATAAATATAAATTTTCTAGATTTACTGAACTTCAAATTGATGTTGGATTGCTCGTCGTTGTGTAGTAAATACTTAAAGGAAGATGGTTACTTATCTGACCTCCGGTTGGTGTAAAGCTGAAGAGATGTTGGGCAGAGTAAAGCAGATGTTGATACTTGGGGTTCCCTCTTCAGAGTTGGGTTACAAGCCACAGCAGAGGCTGGATACGAGCCTAGTTAGGTCCACGATTAGGTTCAAACTTGATTTCTACTTCATGTAGGATCAGTGTTGTTATTCGGACTACGAACAGGTGTTGAACTACAGGTTGTGTACGGAAGGCTGGTACAACTCTAGTATGGACAATCCACAGGAAGGACTCCAATACAATTCAATATTCAAAATAGCTCCAGTGAAGAATGGCAAAACTTCACAAGCAAGAAATATGACAATAGAAAACGAACGAAAAGGGAAAGAAGGAAATAAATAAATCTATCTCAGCTAAGGTATGAAAACTTATAAAATGCTAATGTAACTTATAATATTACATTTTAAATTGATTTTAGGATAAGGACAATACTAACTTTGGGTCTTGTGCGGCCTCGATTAAGTCTTTCAGATTGCTATGTAAGCAGGCAGTCACTTGTGAAAATAAATCCCTGTAGACAACTTCACCGTTCTCAAGATATTTAGAATGGAAATACTCAATACATGTCATCATTGACAAAAAATAAACACGTTGAGTAGATAGGTATTTGACTGAAATAATAATTTTGGGAAATTTTTATTTTTTTAAATTAATAATATTTGTTTTACGAGAAAATGAAGATAAAAGAGTTTTTGTTGAACTTTTGGCACAAAAATATTTCTTCTTCTTCTTACTTCTCAAACTCTCCTTTTCAGGAGAGTTGCGTAGCCTAGGCTGCCAGGACTATTCTGGCGAAGTACTTATCTGCTTTTTTCTTTTTTTGGGTGGTCACGTTTTACGAACTTTCACCGATTTATCTTTCTTAACGACTAACAATTATTAAGGCTATTAAACAGGTTGCTTTAAGCTCTGCAACTATTCAGTTATGCATGCACTCTATGAGTACTAAGCAGCTCTAAGTCCCAATAATTACTGTGCATTTCAAGAAAACGTGATTATTACATTTCAAATTTGCGGCTAGTTTTTTTCTTGGTTATAAAGTTAATGTTAGGCTTGTTATTAGTAAATATTTAGAGTTTTAAATTACTAACCTTCAAAAACAAAGCGATTTATTTTATGTGTTCTGTCTTGTTGAAGACCTTTCGTTATTAATCTTATAATTAATAATTAATAATATCGTCCTTTTTGTTTATTAATTTCCTTCTTGTGACCAGTGTTAATTCGTCTGTTTCAGCCTCTATTCCAGTTTTGCTTATCTTCTTTAGGGCACTTGATGAATCAGAGAATATAACTGCCTTGGCGATGTCATATTGTTCTATTTTAAGTAGGGCAATGTATATAGCATAAACTTCTGCAGAACAGATAGAATGAAAGTCTGGCATTCGACCTGAGTTCGCTGACTTCTGAGAATACCCCCAGCCTTCCCGTCTTGATCTTTTGAGCCATCTGTATAAATAAATACACTATTTGGCCATATAAACATGTGTATATATATACATGTGTAAATATTATTTATTATTTAAAGTTTTTATTTATAAGTCAAATATTTAAACATCGTTTATTATAATAAAACAAGACCAACGTAATACGCCCAAAGTTTTGTAAATGGAGTTAATATAAATAGGTACTTAAATGATGGCAAAAATAAAAGACATTATATTTTGGGCCACAAACAAAAGGAATTGTCTAATTAAAACACATATGTATAACAAATTATAGTTTGAAAAACGTTTTGATAATCATTTGATAATATTATGATTGGCGCTATGACAACGACAATATTTTTTGAGAATTTGACAAAAGTATGACAATGGCCGTTGGAAACTATGGAAACTACAAAAATATCTGATTTAACGCCATCTGGCAATAACTAGTAGCAACTTCTTAACCTAAAAATTAATTGCACTACCACTTAGCGCCTGAGGCTGGAACTATTTTATTTGAAATTTTCGTGGAAACGGTGGAACTGCTTTTGCTATTTCACTTTCCCGCCCCTGGTCAACATGTTTAACTTATGTCAATGATGACAGGTACTGTTAATTTCGATTCCAAATATCTCGAGAACTATTACTTGTAGCGATTTTTATCAAGAGACCGCGTTTGCACAAAAAACGTCGTAAATGTATATTTTTTTACTTGGTAGTTTTATGCAGATACGGACGAAAAGTTCTTACTCTTAAACCAGTTAAATAATATGTAGGTGGCGCCCTCTACAAGTAGGAGTCGTATTGACATCAAAATCAAATTTTTCATGTTAAAAAACTTCCAGACACCAATTTTCATCCAAATATTGACGTTTCTTCATAAATTATTTGGCAAAAATTTAAATAAAAATGAAACTTCTACACCCTGCATTTTCGAAACTAAGCATTTTAGGACATACATTTATACGAACTTTTTTACTTATTTTTATCGAAAGTTTCCGGAATACAGTTCGGACCGCCCTGTATTGTCTGACTATCTATCTAAACTTTCTACTTGTTTTTTTGAAAAAAAAAACAATCACTAAAATTATTACACCTCACAGTGAGGACTTCTCACAGAGCTTTGATATGGGCACACTGAAACCCGTTACAAAGGCGCTTTTAACACGACATTATCCGTAATTTACCCTCACTAATTTCAAAAACAACACACCTTCAACGCCAGCTGTGTTGATTTAACCGTACAATACGAGTGTGAAACACACAGAGACAGAGGGAATGTGTGGGAGAGTATTCTCTTTAATTGACCTCAGTCAAAAGGATAGCAATGCTGGAAATATCTCAATTAAGTTCATTAAATACGTATAATGGCTTCGATTTTTAAAGGTTATATTAGAAAGTGAAACTTTTTTCAACGTAATTAGAGTAATTTTCTAAATAAAAATACATCTTTTTAAAAATAAATACACTCATGGACAAAATTATCGAATATTTTAAATTTTCAAAATTTATGAAAATGAAGGATACTTAAATGCTGCAGAAGTAAGTAAGTAAAACCTTTTGAATGGAAAAATAGGGAATAGTTAATAACGAGTATTCCCACCTCGAGCTCTAATTACTGCTTGCATCCTTCTCGGCATGTTACTAATTAAAGTTTGAATATATTCTTGAGGAATTGCATTCCGCTCGTGTTGTTTCGCATATCGAAGCTCTTCTAGTGTATTTGGAACAGGATTTCTTCGTCGTATGCGACGTTTTAGCTCATCCCACAAATGCTCAATGGGATTTAAGTCTGGGCTATATGGTGGCCAATCTAATCTTTGAATCTGGACTACATCAAGATAATTAGTCACTATGCCAGCTGCATGTGGTCGAGCATTATCGTGCATAAATAGGAATCTGTCGTATAAAATGAGTTATAAGTACCTCATATATTTGATACAAAATTTTTTTGGACGAAAACTTTTGTTAAAATTTCGTCAACGATCAAATTGTAACACAGTTGCGAGAAAAACAGATAGAGAAAGGGATATAAAGGGAAAGAAAGACAGAGACGGATAGTTCCTTTAATTGGATATCTAGTTTGAAGGATAAAAGGGATACCGACTATAACGTCATCTGTACCCTCGGGTCACAGAAGTTTCTACGATTGTGCTGAAGCTAGGGCTGCTTAATTAGAGTCATGTGGTTTACTGTTTATGGGGGGAATATCGGTATTTGTAGAAAATATGATGTTAATTATAAAATTGTAATAGCTCACAGCAAAACAAAAGAGATAATTTTATTTAGACATTGTAAAACTAAAAAGTATAAAGCGAGCGTCACAAAAAATGAAAAAAATGAAGTTTTACCGATCTATTGACTAGTGATGGGAAAAACCGATTAATTTCAATAATCGAGTACTCGAGTTTCAAGCGATGCCAATAATCGAGCGATATATCGCTCGAATTTAAAAATACGGTTTTTCGTCCGTCGCTTGTTGTAAGTACTCGTTAACGCCAAGCGCCAAGCAGTCAGTTGCGTGCGCAGTGCGTCGCAACATCGAGAAAATATCGTTTCCCCTCTCACGGATACCCCGGAGCTACAGAACGGACAGACGTACTGTACTTTACGACCGCTTTTACAAACAAAGTCATTATGAGGGCAGCCTATTATACACTAGACACATTTAATTTACTTATTTGAGTTATTTCCACGGCCGATATTAGGATTGTCAAATTATAAAAGAAGGCTACATTGAAGATTCCATTTCAAGAAAGAAGGAAATTTCAAATAGAATTCTTGCAGGAGGAGAAGGTACTTCAGGTATACGTTTTTCTGATTAAAATAATTTCAAAGAAATTGAATTAAATGGAACTTCAGTCAGCAGCTTTCCAACAAGAACCATTGTTACTGAAAATCAAGAAAATGAAATGTTTGTTCACAATGTCATGTCTAAAAGTGGTATTACTTTTTCAAAATTTAATAAATGTACATTTAACATAACAATTAATAGCAAATAATGCCCTAATTTATTAACTTCTTTATAACCCAACTTCTGTTTATAATACTGTAAGTAATTCTGTACACATCTTTGTTACTTAATAATACACTTTTCATTTGGTTAATAAAAATTCGAATCTAATCTTCCAGATTCGTCTTTATTTAGAAACAAAATTGTAAAAAAACTTGTTACCACCTACTTCAAGACATCTCGGCCGTTTTTTGTCCTCACCTAAAATTTACTTGGGCTTGGCTACTTTATCAACTTTACGGCCTTGGTACACAAATAACTATTAACGTCTCCTTTTTGCTGCTAAGACTAATCTGGACGGGGCCTACTTTGTCTACGCGGAATCCGAACCGTAGTCCTAAGCCATGTCATTATGAATGACTTACCAACATGGCGGTTTTCACGAGATATCCGATTTAAACCCGTGTATTTGTATATATTGATTGTTTACGATACTTTCCGATGGTGTCAGCACCGACGGAGAATGCACCAAGTCTATACTTTATGTATACTGCATCCCTTGAATGTTGTAAACTTTGGTAAAAAATTGTATTTCAAATTCTGATAGTAAACATTACTAACAAACTAGGCTTAACGAGGTTTTTTCATTCAGTCTTATTCTTCTGGTAATTACCTAAAAAATGAATCAGACAGTGACCAATATAGACTGTGAATATATCGAATTTCGTTATTTAATTGCTTTTCTTATGTATTTACCGCCTCTGTTTGATGGAATTAACCTCATTTAACCCCACTTGAGTACTTCAAGAACAGTCATTTGTTCATTTCTACGATTTTCTTTTTAATGCATTAATAATCATGTACAGTCCAGTATTTTTTTATTTATGTTTACACAAATTCGAAGGTACCAAATAGAGTAATTTTGTATAAACTAATTATGATTTTTACCACTTCTCGAAAAGTTAAGATGATTAAATAGCATTTTTTGTGGAAAATAGTCTTCGCATCATTAAATGAAACTGAACATATCGAAATTAATTAAATCAAATTGTTTAAGTGATATGTTCAAAAGACAATAACTGATTTGAGGTATATTGTGTGTATTTCGATTTTTGCTTAGAATTGAAGGAAACATTGAAATATGCATTCTATTTAAAAAAAATGAAACTTTGATGTGCTACAACTTTATGACCAACCATGTAGACATAAATTTCTTACTCGCCAATACCAGGTGCGTCTCAAAAGTGGCTCACCCCTATAACTTTTTTATTTTTTCAGATAAAAAAACGAGATTTGGTATGTAAGTATATTACATAAATTAGGATTGATTGACGTATTGAATTGTTTTTAGTCACTTCCTGTTTCACCGGAAATGACTACAACTTTTGATTTTTAAATGGCACTCTCTGTATTTTTTTACTTTATTCGATAGAAAATGACATTCTGAATAGAATGACTTATCATATGTCAACTTTTGACATTCTCGCTTAAAACAAAATTGAATTTTAAAATTCAATCTAGAGTGCCATGGTTATATTAAAAACACTAATTCTTAGTCAAGGAGCCTTAGAAAAATAGATTTGATCGTTTAATATTTTTAGTGTCTTGTTCTGGCCAGTTAGAAAATGCTCAAATCGTATTTTTAGTCATATCTCAATTTTTTCAAATGGAACGAGGGTGGCTCATTAGCATATTTGGGAAAAGCATTTTTTTACGAATAATTTGGTACCACACACTTGGTATTTCGAGTCAAATTTTCGTTACGTACCGCAAGTTATTATTTCAAATAAACCATATTCGAAAATGTCAAAAGTTGACATATGTTATGTCATTCTATGCAGAGTGTTATTTTCTATCGAATAAAGTAAAAAAATACCGAGGGTGCCATTTAAAAATCAAAAGTTGTTGTCATTTCCGGTGAAACAGGAAGTGACCGAAAACAATTGAATACGTCAATCAATCCTAATTTATGTCATATACTAATATACAAAATCTCGTTTTTTTAACTGTAAAAATAACAAAGTTATAGGGGTGAGCCACTTTTGAGACGCACCCGGTAGACATTAAAAAACCCTATAATTTTTGTATTTAACTTTTTGCAGTACCTTGTATATTTTTCCTAACAATCGACCGTTTCCATACATTACAGCGACCCTGTATAAACTACTCTACTTTCAAAGAGGAACAAATTTTAATAAAGTACATTCTCTGATTTTACTAAACACTTGGCAACAATGCGTAACCTCACTTGACCTACAGCTGGGCGTACACGCCGTCCATTTGTATAACAATTTTACTTGACTTCGGCTCAAAAATAAAAGAAAACAACAACGAAATATTATAACTTAACATCTATTTATTTCCTCGTACGTTATATGTCGTAGTATTTGATTTAAATCTTTAAAAAAACGTGAAACTTTTAGATAATTTTACCGAAACATGTCAGGCGGAGACGTCAGCGAGCTAGATCCCACCGTTGCCGGTTGTCAAGAATTAGTTCGACAGTTGGAGAAATGCCTGAGCGAGAGCAAATGGAAAAGACTCTTGGGAGGATGCAGTGACTTGGTTATCCAAGTTGACAGATGCAACAGGAGATTGTTTGAGTTGCGGAGGCAGGCAAACTATCAGAAATCGTTGGAGGAGAAGAAAAAACTGCAAGAACGCTTTAAAGCTCAGAAAGAAGAAAAATCTGCGATTAACTGAAATAGTGTAATGATGGAATAATTAGGTAAAAAATATGTATTTTGTTATTTAGTAAATAAATTAATAAATATTGCATTTTTAAGAACAATGAGCTTTTGTTTCTTTTACCTAACTCAGATATAGTCTGTCCAGTGCCTTCTATTAAAAGATCAGCCTACGGGCGAGATTTATGACGTCACGCTAGTTAGATATAACGGATTAATAAATATGTTGTAGAATACATGGAAAACATAATCATTCCTCAGACTTTTGGTTTGTATTTTAAAAATGATATAGTTTACATGAAATATACATAATATACAGTTAATAACTACAACATATATACCTATTTATAGTAATAAATACTTTGGCAAATAAACTATAAACCATACAAATGCAGCAAATGTTTTACAATATACAAATAATGTATAGGTACATAAGATATTGGGTAAAATGAAATATATTTTAACAAAAAACATTCAATATCTACTAATAGTGATGTATTATTATTTGCATTCACAGAATTTATATGTATATTTTGCAAGTATCAATGTTCGAAAAATTATATTTACAAATAATACAATATTATCTAAAAAAAGGCGTCAGCGATGGCTATGAAATGAAGATCGCTGGCATTTTATATATAAAATTATTCTAAAATTTTTGATTTTCTTGGGATTTTTAGGTGCGGGAAAAACGCTGATTTAAGTTTTCATTTGGGTTTTCATTATTTTTATTTGGTTTAAAATAACGTTTCGGCTAATTATAGCCTTCATCAGTGTTGTGTCATATGAGAAAAATAGTGTCGAATATAATCCAAAAAATTACATATACAATATAATTCACACCTCATAATGTTTACTGCAATTAATAAACTAATATAAACTTATCAAAAGATGACCACATATTTTTTAAAATTATTATTCTTAACACTAAAATTATCTACATTGACTATGGAGTACGCAGTAAACATTATGTGCGTGGTGTGAATATTTTATATGTAATTTTTTGGCATATATCTGGTAGTAGTTTCTGTCACTTAAACACCAAAATAATTATTTTTTTGCACTACAATAATAAATAATACCAAAAATCAAAGAGTTAAAACCAAAAATCAACCGACAAAATATGAAACGGAATCTAACCCAATATCTAAGTATGTACAGCTGATGAAGTAAACAAAAGTCCGCCCCCAGGCTGATCTTTTAATAGAAGGCACTGGTCTGTCTAAGGAGTCGGGGAATATTTCAACCGACGATATCCAAAAAAAACAGGAAATATAATTTGACATGGGTGCCCAGTGGCGTAGAGGTACAGGCTCTCGTCTACCAATCTCAAGGTTGTGTGTTCGAATCCTACACCCGGCATTTCATCAGCCGACTATTTTTATTAAAATAAAAATAGTTTGGGTACCTAGGTCGACTCAGCCTTAAATGAGTACTTGAGATTCACAATCCTGAGGTAAATAATAGGCGGTTGAAGCGTAGTGCTAGCCACATTACCTTTCTGGTATACCGAACGGCTCTAGCATGGCAAGCTGTACCTTGCTACTCCCAAGGCGTTAAACGCTATACAGGGTTGTTCACCACATACGACACGGAATATTGTAGCTAAACGATTAGATTTTTACAAATTGTAAGTTTTGGGTTCGTTGAAGGACTATTAGAGCTACAATTTAAAAATATTTTTACAAGTTACAGAGTGTCCCAAATAAATAAAAAAAAACAAAGTTGTATTTTTTTAAATGGAACACCCTGTATATTATTACATTTTTAGTTTCTACGATTAAAATAAAGGTAAATTTGATTAAGGTTTATTACACTTAAACCCTACCGTTTTTGAAATATTTTCAATTTTGTAAAATTGCAGTATAAATTTTAAGGCTTCATTTCTCCGAGGGTATCAAAGTTTGTAATACTAAATATATACTGAAGTTTATTTATTGATCAGTTATTGTGTTGCAATAATAAAAATTTTACTACCTTATACAGAGTGTCTAAATATTTATTTTAAATAATTATTAGCTTTAAACGGCAATAACTTGTTTAATTTAGATGGAACACCCTGTATATTTTATGAGAATCAGATGCACAATTTAATAGTTTATCAATTGTATTATACCATTTTTTACCTATCTTTTCAAGCTTCTGTAGAAAGTGCATTTTCTTGTAATTTAGAACTCATTTATCAATATACCCATGGAATACTGACATTTTAGATTATTTTTAAACATGTACCAAATTTTTAAAGAGTACAGATACTAATATTGTCAATATAGTTCGTTTATTTCATTAAAAAATAAAAAACTGTTTAAATATTTGTTAAAGAGGATCAATTAATATGATTCCAGTCATAGAGGTTAAAATATTCCAGTATTCAAACTACATTAATTGACTGTTTGCGTTGATCAATAATAATTGCTCCAAATACTAAAAAACTTAATTATTTATGTGTATTAGACAGTGTAGTAAAAAAACACCTTAAAAATGATATTTCACTTTTTGACAAATTCTTATCTATAACAACAGAGACGATCATTTTCATAACTTATTATTATGTTGATTTCTGATTCAAATCCACATTTATTTAGAATAATTTATTAACGAACACAATTAAGTATGTGATTAATTAGTATTTGGGCGGAAATACTGGTGGTATATAATATAATATATAATAATAATATAATTGGGCGGAAATACTGGTGGTAGGAAATACTGGTTAATTAATGGTATACTCTTTTATAAAGATTTAAATAGTTTTCTTTTTGCATACAAATGGGCTAGTAATATCATCGTTTTACTAAAAACGATAATATTACTAGCCTGTACATTTTGTACATTTGTTGTTTTAAAAACAATCTAAAATGTCAATATTCCATGGGTATATTGATAAATGAGGTCTAAATTATAAAAAAATGCATTTTCTACGAAAACTTGAAGGGATAGGTAAAAAGTGGTATAATACAATTTAATTGTGCATCTGATTCTCCTAAAATATACAGGGCATTCCATTTAAATTAAAGAAGTTATTGAAGAAATGAAGCTTTAAAATTTTTACTGCAATTTCACAAAATTGAAAATATTTCAAAAACGGTAAGGTTTCAGTGTAATAAACCTTAATCAAATTTACCTTTATTTTAATCGTAGAAACTAAAAATGCAATAATATACATATCCATTAAAAAAATAAAACTTTGATATTTTTTATTTATTTGGGACACTCTGTATCTTGTAAAAATATTTTTAAATTGTAGCTCTAATAGTCCTTCAACGAACCCAAAACTTACAATTTGTAAAAATCTATTCGTTTAGCTACAATACTCCGTCTCGTATGTGGTGAACAACTCTGTATACGGGAGCTATTATTATTATATAATTTGATATGAATTAAAATGTCAGATAGAGCTGTTATGGATCCTCTCATTGGACAGACTATAGCTGACTTTAGAAAAAACTTAAAACGATTTTTTTTATGTAAGCACTAACTTTTAAGATATATTTGATATCAATTAAACTTTTAGTTACATAATCGAGGGCGCGATTTTTAAATCCATTGTTGCCAACCATTGTTACAACTTGCCGCATTTATTTGTTTATTCCTCACATTGTCATTCGTTTTGACACTTTAGTTTTATATTACGAGTTTTTGGTTTAAATAAATAGTGTTGTGATACTTTAAGCTTGGAAATGTTTACTAGCAGACCTTGCAGTCGAACATTGCCCTTTTTAGAACCTCTTTTAGTGTTCAAGATAGCTTAATAGCCGTAAAAAACTCATCGCAACTTATTATTATTAGAATATTCTGGACGGGAAAGCGGTAATAATGGCCCCTAATTTATTTTTGTTTCATAAAATATTTTGATTAACAGAAAATATTTAAAAGTGGACAACGCTGTGCCGGTCAAGCTTAATCACGTGACTAAAAGTTTATTTCGTTATGAACTGTACTTTAAAATTTGAGTTATTTCGGTCGACCCTATAAAATAAGAGATATCTTTTGATTTACAGCACCAATGAGGATGCGTAATGGAGAGGAAGCTTCCTGTGACGTCACGAGAGTTCGTCATGGCCGCTCTGATCTGCATTGCTCTTTCCGGCGCAAGCGCGCTCGTGAGAAGGGTAAGATTTTTTAAATAATAATAGTAATATTAAATAATATAAACTTATACATTAACCCTCAACTGGCGTGGTGAATCTTTGTAACGCTTATGGCGTGCTGGGGTCCAACGGACCCAAATTTTTTTTCAGTTTAAAATACATGATGAAGAGGTTTTATAAAAAGCTTGTTATTTTAACACTGTTTACAATATATTCAAACTTGTGAACAAACAATTTCATTTATTTTGCAACAAATTAATAAGAACGGACATAAAAATAAAAAATCGGTAAAAAACTTTTAAGTTAAACGGTTTTATCTTATGTGCACTGAAAACTAGAAAATAATAATAACAATTAGGTATTTTGAACTTCTAGTTCAGAAATATTTTAGTACTAGGCAGAATAGCTTTTAGGCATATTAGACTAAAATAAAAACGTGGGGCCCCTTTGAAATCCTACCTATGGCAAAGCATATCTTTATACTTTGGTAGATCATGAGCTCGGCGTTCGCTGGTGAAGCCGCCACGGCTGGTTATTGATTGTCAAAATCTCCAGTTACGATTATAGTAAGTCGATGCAATCCACACTTAGTATAGAAGAAAGTATTACAGCAATAGTTAATGGACCCCACGTTTTTATTTTAGTCTAATATGCCTAAAAGTTATTCTGCCTAGTACTAAAATGTTTCTGAACTAGAAGTTCAAAATACCTAATTGTTCTTATTATTTTCTAGTTTTCAGTGCACATAAGATAAAACCGTTTAACTTAAAAGTTTTTTTACCGATTTTTTATTTTCTAGTTTTTACCATTTAACGGAAATGCCTACCGAATATTCCTCGTTCTATTTAATTCATTATTATATAAATTAATATATATAACAATTAATTATAACAATAAAATATAAATTATAATAATTAATTATATTTAAAATACCTATTTGTTAATATTTTATTATTTATATTTATTTTAACATTGATATTATTATAGAGAATAAAAAAAAACGCAATTTAACGTTAATTTTTTACACAACTGTTCTGGACACGACTACTCATGCCCTCACCTAATACGCCATTTTGTAACGACGTCCATCTTGGATTTTAAATTTTGTCATAATCACAGCATTCTACTAGTGTAGCCCTTTCATTTGATACCCATATTGAGGGGGTTGTGGAAAAATATGAAATCCGCCATTTTGTACCGGCGGCCTTATTAGATTTACAATGTTATTGATATTACTATATTGTATTGTCATCGGAACTAAAGGTGTGTACCAACTTTCAGATCAATCTGACAACATGAAGGTACTTAAATTTCAATTTCTAATTTTGACCCAAACAAATAAATAAATACCGTACGGGTCGAGCTAAATAAAACCGTTTAATAAAGTAAAATGCATTTTTTAGGAATGTTTGACAACAGAAATATAACTTGGCTAAGAAACCCATAGAAATTAAAAACATATATATTTTATGATTTTACCGTATTATTAAAATTACAAACAACTGAAATCTGAAGATAAAGTAATAAACATAAATTATTCTCAACAAAACTGCAAACCTTGAATGTACATAACTTTTTCAAATACAGTTCATGCTAATATAGGATCTGCATTTGCCGCACGTGGATCGTGCACATTTGATTCATGAGATTTTTGTTTTTTGTCATTTCTTCATTGACATATATACCACATCTCTTTCTTTTCTGGTATTGATTATTCAATTTTCTCTCTTCTATAAGTAAGAGATTCAGAATCGGAGTTATGGTTACTCTTCGGAGAAAAATCAATGTCTCGATGGTCTTCATCTCACTTAAGCCTCTTTAAGTTCATCAAACCACTCAATTAATGCTTTCTCAAAATTAGCGTCCCAGTGAGGCACACTTTTTAGACTACCCACCATCCTAATAATGTAACATTCTTGGCGTGGTGGTGCCACACAGACCCCAATGAAACTTTAGCCCCCGCTGGTAGGGACAATATTTGATAAAATCAAGTGCGCCTTTAACACTTGCATATTGGTACCCTAACTTAAAGGTAAATGGAGCTGCGAGGCCTAATTCTTAAACGTAAACATTTTACAGAGGTTAAATAGTGCTTGGGGCCCGCTGGACCCCACCACGCCACACAGTGGGGTATTTGACACAGATAGTTGATCGAAATTATTTTTTTTTAATTATTGCTAATTTCAATTAAAGAGGAAATAATATGAACAAAATAAAGGATAATTCGTCGATTCTAAAAAAAGAAAGAAAAATCACTGTTCCAGTGTTTCCACGGACAATGCCACTAATACCAGTAGTAATATCGCAACTAATACTACGAATGCTACGACTGATCCGCGAGCAATGCCCATACCACTGAAGTCGCTACTAATGCCAAATTGTGTTATACTGCTAATGGCACTAATGCGATCGCTTTGTACACAACGATTCCATCGCGGTTTACACCTCGCATTAGTATATCACTGATTGGCAAATTAGAGGAAACCAAGAATGTTTTTCTCATTTTATCAGTAAAGTCGCAAAAAGTCGCAGTATTTTATTTTACTGTATGAAAGCCCAATATTTACTAAGTAAAACGTATATAGACAATATGCTGAATTCTTCGAAATGCGCAACTAAATCTCTAATGCCCACTTGCACCGTTTGTATAAACTTTGTTTAAAGGCTATACAGTGATTAACTATACATATTTTATTATAGTTAATCACTGTTTAGCCTTTAAACAATGTTTATACAAACGGTGCAAGTGGGCATAAGTATAATAAAAATGTCACAAATTTAATCAAATTTTCTGAACGCCCAAATTTTCTTCAAAGAAAATCTTTAAAAATTTTGTGTTTTTTGAAACAACTAAAATTTAATCGGCGTGTTCCTGCAATCCTTAAAAATGAGGGCAGTTATTTAAGACTCGATCTGTATATATCCAAATAATTTTATCGAAAACCCTAATTATTTTAAATACAATCACATCCTGAATTTTTTAGTACTACTATTCATTTACACCCTGTACATTTTAGTACCTTAAATTTAAGTTAAAAACTAATAATCAGCTTTTTTGATATTTTTTATTATTAAAATTTAATAGGAAAACGTTGTTTGGGTCATCGTACATTTCCGTCAGCTGTCGGCTACACTCGCTGCTTTGTGCAAAGTGCTTTTAAATTTTCCCTAAAATTCTCCATTTGCAAATGTTAGAAAGCTAGTTTAAACAAATTATTTACAAAAAAATATCAAAACATTTCACAACTTCCTCGATTTTGCTTAGGATTTTCTTTGAACAAAACTCGAAAAAGTTGTAAAAGAAATAAAATTTTCGAACTCTAAATATGACTAAAACGATAAAAACTCACTTATCTACCCGAATTATACTAGTTTTCTAATTTTTGCCACCCTATATTCTTATTAGTTAGGATCGATAATAGTTCTCTGTACTTTTTCTCATTTTGAAAAGAATGGAAGTAGATTTTTTTTAAAAATCGTTAGTATAGAGAATATCAAAATAAATAATACGTTTTTGTAGAATACATACCTGCAGCTTGCTGAGCCATTTTCAATCAAAACAATAATATAAACGTAAAAAGAGCACAAGAACAAAAACAATTTATAATTTTAGACATAAAATTTAGCCATTTACCTCTTATCTTTGAGAAGTAACAACTTTGACGTTTCGTTGAAACAAATGAATGGAACTAAACACACCCATAGCAACGCCATTCATTGCAGACATGATTTAACTTATCATTTATCTTTTTTTGGGAAATCTTAAACACATTTGCTTTTTCGAATTTCGATCACCTTTTTCATGCTAATACCCCACCGTGCGCCAGTTGAGGGTTAAGCTTTACTCTCATATTTTGGTTGCACTCTGGTTTATTTGTTAAAACACAAATCAATTAAAAATAAACACGTTGCAATGGCTTTTTTATCTTCATTTTATATCATAATAATCAATAAAAAAAACGTTGTCCTACACAAAATAATAAATATCTCCGCCATTGGTCGAAATGCATAAAGCAGCGTTTTTATTGGTCCGTTTTTTATCATTCTTTTAAAAGAAAAACGATATAGCATCACGCCTGGCTTTTATTAACGCATTCGTTTTTATAGTTTCGCGTTTATTTTCAGTTTCTAACAATGTTGCCCAGTAATGGAAGAACCCATAATGGGTTTTGTTCGGGAAATGCACGAAAAGTTTACATAAATAGTTAAAAATACGCGAACAAATTTCCCTCAGTGTTTCTTTTCTTTTTTCAAGGAATATTTGCATTTCTTTACAATGAAAAAGTAAAACTTTAGAACTTTTCGAATTTAAAAACTATGGAATTAAAAAATAATAGGATTTTACAACAGTACTTTTTATCTTAAATGGTTGTTCAGTTTTGAATAAAAAAAATAAAGAGATTTAAACAAAAACTAAAGTTTTGTCATATGAAAGTACTATATAACCTTTTGTACTTACCACTATTGACGTCGTGGACTCTGTGAAATTCTTAGGACTTGTTGTAGACAACTCGTTAAAATGGAACTTGCACATCGAAGCTTTATCAAAGAAACTAAGCGCTGCCTGTTTTGGGCTAAGATCATTTTCTAAGGAACTTAACTTATCAATCTCTAGAATAGTCTAATTATTCCCTTTTTGAGTCACATCTTCGTTATGCCCTTCCATTCTGGGGTACTTGCTGCGCAACAAAATTTGATCGTATTTTCAAACTTCAAAAGAGAACAGTTCGATATTTATTGGGCCTGAACAGTAGAACTCACTGCCAGAATTTCTTTAAGAATTTCAAAATGCTGACTCTTCCTTCTTTATTCATTTTTGAATCCGTTTGCTTAATCCGCAAGCACATATCTGCTATTCCCGAAAGGCCATCTCACAACTATCCACTTAGGAATGCGGAGCACGATCTTTATCTGCCAACCCCAAGCTCAGAACTAGTTAAAGGCTCAATACTGTACAGGGTGGGTCAAATTCGACGCTTTTAAATCGAAACACCCTATAGGGGACAGACAAAAACTAATAT